CAGCACGCAGCGCACAGAGCTCAGCACCGCCACACACACACACCACCCAGAATTAGAGCTGCCTAGCTCTTCCTCACTTTCTCCTCAACTCGTAAGACAATTCAAAGATGCCAAAGAAAAGCAATCTTCATTTAATACTGTCAAATACTGAGCTTCACTGTGACTCCATGACCTGTAAAGCGCTTTGAGTGGAGGGTCCAGAACAGTGCTACATAAGTGTAAGAAATTATTATTATTAATTAACTCCTGTCGTGGAAGCACCACCAGTCCTCAGATGACTACAATATAGTCTGTACCAACACATCATGCAGCTGCTGAAAAGGGATTTCAGTGACTTTTCTTTCTTGTGCTCTTCTGTACTCCATAGCAAGGCCTGCACGCACGTGGTCTGTCAGCACTGAGCTTGAGCAACTCCACTACGTGTCTCTGAAGACGCGAGAACAGTCAGCTGACAGCGTAGCTCATCAGCCCAGAGAAGCTTCAAACACAGAGCAGTTGTTTGCAGCTGTTTCCACTTTTCCACAGAGATGAGGTTAAAGAAATAAGCCACAGCTGCTAATGCAGTATGCAGTGCAGTTTAGTAACTGGCTTTTTGATATTGCTTAAGCTATCCTATGACACATCCAAGACTGACCAGTTGGTGCTCCTTAAAGTTTATTTTCTTCATATAGCCTTCAAGGGCTGACGCAGTTGCTCCTATAGCTGTGAAATCTTGCCCCAACAGTACAGACATACGTGCGTAATTGGAGTGAATGACTTATTCAGGCACCCAGCGCTCAGGGGGCCTGAGTTTTCTGAGGCTGGTCAACTGCAGACAGTGCCCACGCTTTTTACGACATGAAAAGGACTGGCAGTGTGCCTGCAGGGGGACCGGAGCCAGACAGAGACTCAGTGAGGACTTCCCCCGAATGTGAGCAGCAGTGTTTCTGTGGGCGTCTGTGTGGCTGAGCCCTGGAGGAGCGCCGAGGGGGTGGAGGCTGCAGGAACCTACTTGTTCTGGTGCTCCTGGCCTCCTCCTGAGGGGTGAGGTCGTCAGACTCCAGGGGCAGTTCCCTGATGAAGTTGGAAGGGAACATCCCCGTTCTCCCGTTGAGAGTGCCCTCCCACCAGCCTTCCTCCACCTGTGACCAAGGATGAACACACGTCAGTGCAGCAACAGACACACAGACACACACAGGGGAAAGACCATTGACCTGCTGTCAACATGCAGCCCTGAATCCCCAGAAGGAGCAAAGACGTCACTGACAGAGGCACCCAGAGGACCTGTGCACGACAGGGGTCTCCTGCTCCTGGAGTGCCTTCATGCAGTCTCATAGTCATTAAAATCATCCAGTTCTGAAGACCAGGAGCAATCGGACTGTGCTCTGTTATACTCATTATTCTGTAAAATAAGCTGCTTAGAGGTCACTCGGAACAAAAACTGGACTACCCTCCTGCACAAATCAGACCACATTCTCCAGCCAGAGTGCCCTCAACTAAGCTCATTTGTTTAATCGATCGGAAATGTACAGTACAAGTGTGCTAAAAGTAAGGTGCGATGGGAGAGTACAGAATAAGGGCACTGGGGCTCTGCTGGCCCAGGGGGGTCCAGGACTTCTTGTGGAGGGATGTGTCCCACCTCGTACATGCTGCTGCTCTTCATGTGCACACGGGCCAGGGGCTCTCACGAGAACACACAGGGCACGTGTTGCACTGAGAAAACACCACGGGCAGCAGCCCACAGCCAAAGGGGTGAAAAACAAGGCTGATAGCCGCCCGGCTGTGCCTGCTCGGAGGCCAGGTGCCCACTCCTAAAAAATATTCCTGC